TTCTTTTCTTTCTTTCTTTCTTTCTTTTCTTTCTTTCTTCCTTCTTTCTTTCTTTTTTTTTTTTAACATTTATCTGTTGAAGAGGCCCGGGACAATTGGTGGGTAGAATTTCTCCCAGTCTGAGTTTTGCTGATTGTGTGTGCTTGGTACAGTTCAGCACACTCCTCTGTCTTCCGCATTTCCTGCAAACTGGCAGCTGGATTCAGAGGCCAAATGTCTCAGCATTAGAAGAGATTTCCTATAGTTTGAAAAGCTCTCCAGGTTATTCTGATAATATTCTCTTCCAGCTTAGAGCAGCCTCTCACAAATTCTCCAGTCTCTGGGTTTATAAATACAATGAAACCACTTTCTGTGGTTTATACCCCTCCCTGTGTCAGGAGAGGAAGTTCATACTAACCACGACAGGGTGGGGGATGAGGAGATGGGCAGGAGTCCCTGGTGTGCTTCACACCAAGCCATGATTTTCTAGTAGGAAAAACTGGGGAATGTATTTCTTCTTGTATTCCTATGTGGGTCTTAGACCTTAGCTTGCAGGCATCTGTGGTTTGTGGCCAGAAGCTTTCCAAACATTTTGCCCCCTGCTAAATTAGCTTTTAAGTCATTGAAGGCCCGTGCTCAAGTGGCCAAAGGATTTTATGCTTTTCTTATTCAGTACAATAGTAAAAGGAGCAATCACTGTATTTCCCTGTGGCATAGAACTGTGGGAATAGCCGGTCAGATTCAGGAAAAGTACACTGCTTGGGTTTCATATGATCTCAGCTTTATTCCAAAGGAGATCTATTTCTTCATGTGAGAATTGTGGCTGAGTTATATACCCTAGATAATCCAGATTGATCTCTGTTGGATGTTCTTGAAGTGGATAAAGGACAATCTCTGAGCAACCCAGATGAAGTTTTAGTACCAGGGCTTCATAAGGCTGCATTATCTGCTGTTGAGATTGCAAAATATTTTGTCACAGAAATAAATTGTTTAGCAGCCAGTTGGGGAGGGCCTAAACTTCCCTCAGTCAAAAAGGAAAGGTTCTAAATTCACACGGTCTCTCTCGAGTTAGAAAAATGACCTTTGTAGGGTGTTCTGGGATTCCTTTTTGATAACTTTCGTACAAGTTCATAGGAGTATAGCTCCCTTCACACCTTCCAAGAGACCCAAAAACAGTCCGGAAATCCATTCTCGGGTAGTAATCAAATGAACGTTGGATGTAAAGGAAACCACACCCAAATGTACTAGCTTAGCAAAGAAGCAGAACAAAAGCTTTCGGACACTTCCTGCTAGTATTTACTGGGGTGGTGTTCTTAAAGTACGGACTCCATTTCGACTGTGTGTGTGTGTGTGTGTGTGTGTGTGTGTGTGTGTGTGTGTAGAAGGTGTCATTTACCAAACATCTCATAAACTGTCTTCAAAGTATGAAGAATTTCCATCATTGCTTCTAGAATCATGTCTTAGTCCCTTTTCTTCTTCCCGGTAGGATACTGTCAAAAATAGGTTTTCTGTTTTAAGGTTCAGTGAGAGCCCATTTGCATGTGACCTACTGCAGAACTTTGGTGGATTGCCTCTGACCCTTTTGCCCAGCTGATGAATTCTGGACAAATCTTTCTGCACCCCCTTCTCTCTTCTGCTTTATTCCCTGGCCAAGCTATTGGTGTGCTAGGGCTGCAGGTGGGGACATACACTCTTCTTTGCCTTTTTGGCTCTCTTCCCTATGCCTGGAATTTCTTAAAAAATTATAATCTCTCAGGGGTGCCTGGCTAGCTCATTTGGTAGAGCATGTGACTCTTGATCTTGTGTTTGTGAGTTCAAGCCCCACATTGGGTGTAGAGATTATTTAAAAATAAAAATCTTTGCAAAAAATTTATAATCTTTCTTTGATCAGATGAGAACAGAAATCTAGTAAGATTTTGTAACTCTGGCCTTTCCCTTGTTTGTTCCATCCTGAGTGCCTTATTTGGAAACACCGCACGCACGCACGCACACTCGCATGTGTTCAGTAACCCTTCCTCATCCTACGTTACTGCTCAGTCTCCTTCCTTCCCTCTACTGCCAAACTTCTTGAAAGGATAGTTTGTATAAACCCTTTCTCCACTAACTCAACTCTGGGTCACATTTCAGTGCATTTCCATATGACTTTAGCTTCCTTCATTCCAATGAAACTTCTTGCTGAAGCCAACATGAACCTCCTCATAACCAGGTTTTTAGTTTCACATCATTTCCACATGTGGTTTACTTTGCCTTTTCCTGTCCATTGCCAACATGGCAAAGGAATGTCCTTTTCCATGTTGGCAATGAAGACCTAGTCATCCCTCAAGAATCCCCTCCCAGAGCAGCTTGTGTCAAGTCTGCTTTGTGCCATAGATGAATGATGGATAAATGAGTGGTATCACCACCGAAAGTTATCTTGGATTCTTCCTTCATTTCTTTCCACTTACAGCTGATCTCCACAACTCACCAAATTCTATTTCAGAAATACTCAAACCCAGTGCCTCCTCTGTGTTTCCACCACTGGCTTTAGACCAGGTCTTGATCATCTCTTTGCCAGAGTATTTAATATTACTGCCAATATTTTTTTAATTCCCTACCTCCCCCAACCTGTTTCAAGACTTCCACTCAAAAACCAATGTGCTCACGTTACTATTTTCCTTAAAAACTACTACTGACACGCCTTGGTGCATGGGACACATGCCAAACTCCTCATGTACTGTGTGTCTGTGTGTTCCTTCATGGTCCCATACCAGCCTCCTGTTCCGACCATGACCTAGCTCTTATTCAGGGTTTGCACTCAAGCCTCCTTCTCAATGTTCCTGAACATTCTGTCCCTTTCCAGACATTCAACCTTTCAGTATGTCTGGAGACCTCTTCCCAGTTCCCACCCTGCTGATGCTCATGTACCCAGTGAGATAGTGTGCAGAGGTTCACTTTTGATGAATTACTCTTTTTATGGGCTCTAGTGTAAAGTCATTCGTATATATTTTTTAATAACCGCTTAATATGCTGAGAAGCCCTGTTCACTGAAAAGATTATGGTGCCTTCCACCCCACATGTAATTCAATATTAAAATAATACTAGCCACTTTGTGCTTTTTCCCAGCAGCATTTAAGAATTTTTTTTTTTTTCTTTTAAAAGGCTAAATATTTGCCCCTCGTGTCTTTGGTGCCTCTGTTTTGTTGCCACCCTAATCTAAGTATATCCTTTACAGCTGTGAGTGAGAGGCAATGTAGCTCAATGGTTAATTAAAGGGACTTTGACATCAGACTGCCAGGGTTCGAATACCAGCTCTACCACTTACTGGCTCTGTGACTTTGGACAAGTTGTTGAACCCCAGTTATCTCATCTTTAAAATGGGGGTTATACCCAGAAACAAATAATACATTATATGTTAATTAATTGAATTTAAATAAAAGATAAATAAAATAAAATGGGGGTTATATAGTATCTAGCCTTATCGGCTTGTTTTTGAGGTTAATATATAGCAAACACTGCCCAGTACGTAGTAAGTTATGTATATTTGGTATTTGTTATTAATATAGATAACTTACTTGGAAATGCCTCTTCCCCCGTACTGTTGACAAACACTGTTCCTTATTCATCATTGCAAAATCTGGTGACTAGTCGCCGTGCAGGTAATGTTGAAAGAATGAATGGATCATCAGAAGGCAAGTAAATGTGACTCCGCTGATTCTCTTGCAGACCTCTCTAGGTTTCCTGGCATATCTGGAGAAACAAGGTCTAATAGATGAAGATAATCTGAGGTTACTGGAGGATCTCTGCAGAAGAGTTGTACCTAACCTTATGAGAAAGATAGAAAAATATAAAAGAGAGAAAGGTAACTAGCTTACACTTGCTTGCTTGCACAAGACCATGGGAATTCTTTTTTTTTTTTAAGATTTTATTTATTTATTTGAGAAAGCAAAAGAGAGAGAGAGCACAGAGGTAGAGGGAGAAGTCAACTCGCTGCTGAGCGATCCCGGGACCCTGAGATCATGACCTGAGCTGAAGGCAGATGCTTAACCGACTGAGCCACCCAGGCGCCCAAGATCATGGGAATTCTTAAACTAATTGGTCCTATATGACGTTTACTCATTACTCTGATAATATTCTCTTAGGAAAGCCAGAACTTCCTCCCCATCTGTTCATTCAAGACATATTTATTGAATGCATACTCTGACCTAGGCTCAGTTTTTGAAGGTGGAGACACAGAAATGTATATAAAGCAAAGCTCCTGCTATCTTGGAGCTTATATTCTAGTGAAGAAAAGTAATTTCATTTTATTTTATTTTTTTAAAAGATTTTATTTATCTGACAGAGAGAGACACAACGAGAGAGGGAACACAAGCAAGGGGAGTGGGAGAGGGAGAAGCAGGCTGCTGGCCGAGCAGGGAGCCCGATGTGGGGCTCGATCCCAGGACCCCGGGATCATGACCTGAGCCGAAAGCAGACGCTTAACGACTGAGCCACCCAGGCGCCCAATAAAAGTAGTTTTAGATAAATGTCTTTTCCTCCTTCTTACATGGGGGTGAGAGTATAGAAAAAACATTTAAATGAAATAACAAAAAAGAAGGAGGCAGGATAGCATAGGGATTAAGAATGAGGTCTATGGAGTTAGATTGCCAGGACTCCACTTATTAATGGGGTAGTGGTTCTTTTCTTAACCTTTCACTTTCCCCATCTGTAAAGTGGGGATAATAACAGTACCTACCTCGTGGGGTTTTGAGGATCGAATGAAGTAATTCCTATAAAATGCATGTCTGGCATAGAATTAAACATGTTGCTATGAATATGTTTGTCAGAAAGTCATGAAAACTTTCATTTTCTCAGAAATTAGTATCAGAGAAGAAGAAGAAGTTTATTTCCTTGTTTGTTTGTTTTTTTTTAATGCTGTCTTGTAAAGGTAGTATCACTAAAGGTAATAGCAAAGGTGGAAATCAAACCTGGTTGCCTTACCGTATATCAATATGCTAAGTATTTGTGTTTTTCCAGGTAAGAGCTACAAATAAAAATGCATGAGTATAGAGGCGCCGGGGTGGCTCAGTCGATTAAACATCTGCCTTCGGCTCAGGTTCTCCCTCTCCCTCTGTTGCTCCCTCTGCTTTTTCTCTGTCTCTGTCAAATAAATAAAGTCAAATAAATAAATAAAATCTTAAAAAAAATGCATGAGTATATTCATGAAGCTTGTATACCACACCCATATTTTAATTCAGTGAGTCAGTTTGGTGTACAAATGTCTTTGGTTAAAAACGAAACTAGCTAAAAGGAAACTTCTCTCTAAGAATTCTATAAATAGGGATCCCTTCTCAGCAGGGAGCCTGCTTCCCCCTCTCCTACTCCCCTTGCTGGTGTGCGCTCTCTCTCTCTCTCACACACTCTGTCAAGTAATTAAAAAATAAAATCTTAAAAAAAACCGAATTCTATAAATACAAAATGAGTTGAGGAACAAAATATCCTGTTGTTAAATTGATAAAATCTCAAAAAATAACTAAAGCAATGAATAAATGCATAATTTAAAAAGTTATGAAGAATAAAAATGATTCTTATAACCAAAGTTATCAGTGAGAAATAAAAAGCAGGGAGTTGATGTCAAAAGTACATTTAGAATCCTCACTGAACGCTGAATGCTGAGATTTTTTTTTTTTCTGATTACATTGCCATTTTCCTGTAGTTAGTATCTCCCACAAAATAAACAGGGTAGGGGGTCAGATGATTTTGGATACTTGAACTCTGGAGAAGGCACTCTAGTGTTTATGTAGTAAATGCCTCAGTGAGTCTTGAGACCTGAGCTTTATATCAGAAGAAGAATTCTGATTGTGATTTTTCTTTTCTACAACCTCCCTGCTGTGTGATCTCTTTTGGGTGTCAAAAGAAAACAAACAAACTTGTTTTCCTCTGCTACTATCACACCAACACTTCTGGAACACTTCTAACATAGATGGCTAGGATTTTTCCATGCCAAGCAATTCTCTAAGTCTCTGCAGATACCAGCTGGGTGTCCTATGATTTAATCCCATTCTGACACTAACCAGAGTTAGCACAGACCTTAACTAAATTAGGTTAAGGGCTCAGTGTCCTAAGACTGCCCCCCCCCACTTCAGACACCAGTCACAAGTTAGTCGGTCCCCAGAACACCCACACGGCTTCTGACCGGTTTGGCTACAAACTGAGGGTTCCCAGGACCCCCTTCAGGTTCAGTCATTTGCTAGAACAGCTCACAGAACTCAGGAAAACTGTTTACTTACTAAATTACTTGTTTATTATAAAAAGATTTGACTCAGCAACAGCCAAATGTAAGAAATGCATAGGGTAGGCAGCTTACCCTTCCAGCATCTCTACATGTTCACCAACCTGGAAGCTCTCCAAGCCCCTTCAGTTAGGGATTTTTATGGAGGCTTCATATGTAGGCACAACTGAGTAAATCGTTGGCCATTATCATTAATTCAACCTCTAGCCCTTCTCCCCTTCCCAGGGGTCTGAGTGTGGGGTGGAAAATTCCAGTCCTCTGACCACAGGTTTATTCCTCTGGCTCCCAGCCCAACCCCCTCTGGAGGCTGCCCAGGAGCCCCAATCACCAGTCATCATTAACATCTTATTAGCAAGAGACACTTTGCATTTCAGAGATTCCAAGAGTTTTAGGAGCTCTGTGCCAGGAAAAAGAGGGCAGAGATCAAATATATATATTTGTTACTATATCATAGATATCAATTAATATTTCAGTATTGACTTTAGTCCTAAGAGCTTGGGCTTAATTCTTCCATTTAGGATGAAGGACTAAAGAACTGAAAAGATGGTAGGTATGCAGATTTTGGACTTTCCCTCAAGTGTATGTGATCCAAAGACAAAGTTCATTGTATCCGATTAGGACACAAGCTCTATTTAAGGACCACCAAGATAATTTCTTAGCTTTGGTGTTTGCTTTAGTATTTTAAATTTCTTATTAAAAATAATGTATCATAATTAGAATAAAATTAAATAAAAATTCAAATAATGACAATACAGTTTATCTACTGTCAGCCCATTCCCCAGAGATAATCATTGTTTGCTGTTTGGAGTATATATAGAGAGACTGTGTGTGTGTGTGTGTGTGTGTGTGTGTGTGTAAATAGCCAGATGAATATATATTTAACTAAAATCATGCTAATCATATCCTATAACTTGGTTCAGTCCCACCTAATATATCTCACATTTCCCCATGTACATAATACAGACATAGCTCATTGTTATTAATGGTTCCATAGAAATACATTTTATATATATAACATATTTATTTAATCACCACTTTTGAATGTTTTTTCTTAAATGTTTTTTTTCTTTTCCTTCTTCCTTCCTTCCTCCCTTCCTTCTTTTCTTCTTTCTTTATCTTTTTTGCTATAGTCTGAGTTCTGGTTTTATTTTTTGAGGTAATGCTTTTGTAATCTCTACTTGGCCATTATCTGACACATTAAATACCATAAGTTCTCGGGGTGCCTGGGTGGCTCAGTCGTTAGGCGTCTGCCTTCGGCTCAGGTCACGATCCCGGGGTCCTGGGATTGAGCCCCGCATTGGGCTCCCTGCTCCGCGGGAAGCCTGCTTTTCCCTCTCCCACTCCCCCTGCTTGTGTTCCCTCTCTTGCTGTGTCTCTCTCTGTCAAATAAATGAAATCTTAAGAAAAAAAAATACCATAAGTTCCGAAATAGTATTTAATAAAGCATATAGTAATTTTGAGGAACTAATAAAATTATAAGAATAATAAAAACATAAATACAAAGGAAATAAAATATAATAAAAGGAATGAGAATGTAATGATAAAGAAAAACAATTTATAAGTTCACTTTTTTTTTTTCTAGGTGTATGTGTAGGCTTCTTTAAGCAAATGGCACTATAAATCTTCAGGTCCCTATAAAATAATTTCTTTTGATGATTGGTGATCTTGGATCGCTACTAGTCAGATGATGATTTTTGTCTCACACGCTGTGATTCTATTTGCAGCCTCCCAGGTAGTGACACCTCCAGTAGACAGAGGACCTGAGTCATTGCATCAAAGAAAGGAAGAACCATTTTCCCGTTCAGACATTGAAGAGTTGTTAGAAGCATTACCAGCCTTACCGGTAGGTTCATTGGTGTGTTGGTAAATGTTTAACCACTAGCTCTTCTCTCCACCCTCAACACCCCACCCCAAAAAGAAAGAGAGAGAGAGAGACCCTGATGTGTAGTGTTTGGTGTAAATCACCCACCATGCTGATTTCATGTTACCAACATGACATCAATTCAATTGCAGAATTTCTGAAACTCTGACAGATGGCTTTCACTAGTTGGTTTGAGTTGACTCCCGGACACCACTGGGTTGTTGTGAAATGGTTCTGTTCTTATCGATGCGATTTGATCAAGACCAGCTTCCTGAACGTATAGCCTGTGTAGTCCCCACATGGCCCATGCTTTTTTAATGCTCAGTAGTCACTGTTTCAAAATTCTTAATAATGTTTGAACAAGGGGCCTCACATTTTATCTTGCATGGAGCCCCACAAATTATGTAGCCTGTCCTTTCCAGAGGACAAGATTTGGGTTCCTGTAGTGCCCAGCAGTAGAAAGGTGAGTACAGGGGAAACACCGGGAGATTTGCAGTCTGTTTCTTAACAACATGATCATGATCCTTGAGAGACACATATGACATTCTTTCCTGGGATTTATGTTTCTTCCCAGCAGATTTGGGCAGTTCTATTTTGCTAACATCAGTCAGTATCAATGAAGTTATCTTGGCCTTGAAATTTTTTGTTTTTAATTGTGGTAAAATAAAACATAAAATTTACCATCTTAATTATTTTTAAATGTACAATTCAGTACTGATAAGTACATTTATATTGTTGCATGACCAATATCCAGAACTCTTTCTATCTTGCAAAACTGAACCGCTATATCTATTAAACAATAACTCCCCATCCCCCCTTCCCCCTAGCCCTGGCGAACACCATTCTACTTTATATCTCTATAAATTTGACTACTCTATTTACCTCATGTAAGTGGATTCATACAGTATTTGTCTTTTTGTGATGGGCATATTTCACTTACTGTAATGTCTTCAAGGTTCATCCATGTCAGAATTTTCTTCCTTTTTAAGGCTGACTAATATTTCGTTGTGTGTATCTACCACATTTTGTTTATCCATTTATCCTTCAGTGGACGTGTGGGTTGCTTCCACCTTTTGGCTCTTGTGAATAATGCTGCTATGAACATGGGTGTACAAATATCTCTTTGAGATCGTGCTTTCAATTCTCGTGTGTATGTACCTAGAAGTGGAACTGCTGGATCACGTGGTAATTCTCTATTTCATTTTTTGAGGAACCTTCGTACTGTTTTTCACAGCAGCTGCATCATTTTGCATTTCTGCCAGTAATGCATAAGAATTCCAGTTTCTCCACAGCCTTGTCAACACTTGCTATTTTCTTGTTTTAATGGTAGCCATCCTAATGGGTGTGTGATAGTATCTCCTAGTAGTTTTGATCTGTATTTCCTTAATGATTAGTGATGTTGAGCATCTTTACATGTACTTGTTGGCCATTTATATTATCTTTCTTGGAGAAAGGTCTATTCAAGTCCTTTGCCAATTTTTTAATTGGGTTGTTTGTGGAAGTTTTATTTTTTATTCTTAAAAAAATTCTTTGATAGCTTCTTTACTACTTTCATGATTTCATATTTTTACACTTACCATTTTTAATCTTTAAATTTGCAAATAATTTCAATCTTACAGAAAAGTTGAAAGAATGCTGTATACTGTTTTACCAGATTCACTACCTGTTGACTTTTACCCCATGTGCGTTAACCTCTGAGCACTTTCTCTTTCTCTATCATCCATTTATGTAAACACATAATTTTTTTCTGAACTTTCTGAGAGTAGCTTGCACACATCATGGCTTTTTACTGCTGAATACTTTACAGTGTATTTCCTAAGAATAAGGACATTTTTTTTTTCACAGAACTATAGTACAGTTATCGATGCCAGGAAAGTTTACTTAATACTTTCACTGTGTTCAGGTGCCACATTTCAGTTTTGTCTGTTGATCCAGTAATATCTTTTATAGCTTTTTCCCCTCCAATACATAATTCATCTGGGATCATTATGGTATTGTCATGTCTCTTTAGTCTCCCTTAATCTTAAACATTTCTACAACTTTTCTTTATGACAGTTTTGAAGAATACAGCCACCTCCACTATTATCTTTTGTAAAAAAAAATAGAATTTTCCTCATTTTTGGTGTGTGGTTTGCCTATGATGTGTTTCAAGCTACCTATTCTCACCAGAATATTACCTGAATGATGTACCCTTCTCAGGGCCTTACTTATGGAGGCAGCAGTGTCCACCTGCCCCCCCATTTGTGATGCTAATTTTGATTATTTGGTCAAGTTGTTGTGTGATTTCTTCACTGTACAAGTTAGTTTTGTATAGTTACTATTTTTTCCCTTGCAACTAATAAGCAAGTGGTGGGGAGACATTTTAAGACCATACAAACATCCCCCTCTGCATTAAGAACTTCCCCTAGATTGAGTACCCATTGATAATTCTAGTGTGATTCAATATTTACCTTGTTGGTTGCAAAGCAATGATTTGGGGCATCTGGGTGGCTCAGTGCTTTGGCTCAGGTCATGATCCCGGAGTCCTGGGATCGAGCCCCTGGTCGGGCCCCCTGCCCAGCAGGGAATCTGCTTCTCCCTCTCATCTGCCTGCCGCTCCCCCTGCTTGTGCTCTCTCTTTCTCTCTCTCTCTTTCAAATAAATAAAATCTTTTATTTAAAAAAGAAAAGCAATGATTTTCAAACTCTAGTATTTTCTCTACGTTTATGTCAGCACTCAGCATTCTGCTATATGTAAGAGCCCTCCTTTCTCCCCCAGAAGTTTTTTTTGCCCACTAAATTCAATCCTTCCCCCCCACCCACTTTTTCAACTAGTTTTGTGTATGCTCAGATACTTACATGCATGTAGAAAATACACACACACAGGACTTTGCTCTTTGCTGTAGAAATTCAGTTGTTTGTAAGGGGAGTGGCTCAACCTTGGTATCTGAAGTGTAGCTGTTTTGTGGACTTTGGACTCTGGCCATGGCCTGGTGACGGGGTCTAAGCTGTCATGGTGCTGAGAGTGTAGGAGGCTCTGGGAGGCAGCACCTCACATTACATACTTTTTCCTAGACTCTCGGGGTTGAAAGGTGTCTTTTTTTTTTTTTTTTTTAAGATTTTTATTGATTTATTGAGAGAGAGGGTGATAGAGAGAGACCATGAGAGGGGGAGAGTCAGAGGGAGAAGCAGACTCCCCGCCGAGCAGGGAGCCCGATGTGGGACTCGATCCCGGGACTCCAGGATCATGACCTGAGCCGAAGGCAGTTGCTTAACCAACTGAGCCACCCAGGCGCCCCGGGGTTGAAAGGTGTCTTAAAAGTTATCTAGGCAATCCTGCCCCTGGATAAAATGAAACTTGGTAAATCATATCATGTTTCATTTGCACCTGACAGGTTTTCTTATGTAAAAGAGCACTGCCAACCATTGCATTTAATGAGGGTATCACACCCCCAAATAAATGAATTTAACATTAAAAACCAAATCAATATTTTTGAGTGTGGCATAGGACTTTCTTAAGGAGAGCCACGTCTCTCTATTGAGGAGACCTAACAACAGCTTCCTTTTAAGGTTATTTGGGGCCCTTATTATTTGTAAACAGTGGAAAGAAGACTGAATGTGGCCAGGCCACATGTCATTCATTCCTTCCTCTCTGACACACAGAATTGGGGGTGTCAACAGAAGATGCAACATTTTCAGAGAAAGAGCCAGGCAGACCTTAAAGCTGATCTCTCGTCCCTGTTCTGGCTGATTTTATCAGCACAAGGAAGGAGACAAATCAAGAAAACCTGGGGCAGAACCTGGGGAGGCATCTGTGTTGCCCTTAATCCCAGAAAGTTCACTCAGCTGCTTTCAGAACCAACTGGACAAACCCCGTAAACAGCTTGCTTGGCCCTTGGTTGTTGCCGAGAGAAGCTCTAGCATTTTGCAGGAAGGAAAACGCGGCTTGGGGAAAGAATGGCCGGAAGTGTTTTGGAAAGTGAAAGCGAAGTTCTTTTGCATTTTTGTTCCCTCCGAGTCAGGGAATTCTGGTATTGTGCAGCCTGGGAGGGAGGCGGTGCAGCTTTGGTTGGGCTTGAAGATAAATCCCTCTTGCAGCCAGAAGCCCGGAGGGCTCCAGCAGGGAGGCATCCCTAGAGACTTGGGGGCAACTTGCCAGTCACCTCAGACAGGTCTCCTGGGGCTGCCCACCACACGGCCAGTGGCAGGGTTAACACCTCCCCAGAACACTTGTGCGGCTTTCTGTTGCAGGCTGAGGGCAAGGGGCTTGGGGGCGGAGTGAATGGGGAGGATCATGCACAAACGATGAGGGCCTTTGGTGATGTTTCAGTTTTGTATTTGATGATCTAGAACGTCTATGTGGGACTGAAGTCAAAACTATCAAGGGAGTATACTCCGAGGAGGCTGCATTGTATTCCTGCCCCTCTTCCCCTCCCCCATAGATTGCCATTTCTTTTTAAGTTTATTTTTTTATTTATCCTATTGCTACTTTTGGGAAAAAAACCCCAACCATCTCTCCCCTTTATTATAAGAGAGGGAGCCCATTAAAATACTGCTCTTCACTTTACTTCCTTCGTGTAATAGTATCTCGTGGAGAAGTATACAGTGTCTTCTGTGTCCTGCTCCACCGTGTGGGTGGACCACAGCCCTTCCCTAAACTTTCTATTGCTGGGCATTTGGGTTATTTCTAGTCTTTAGTTATTCCAAATAATGCAGCGAATAAATATCCTTGTGCATGTGACATACATCATATTTTTGTCACTGTGTCTTTGTGAACCTCCTCCTTTGAGAAAGCAGAGTCGATTCTCTTTTTGTCAGTCCCTGCGGATCTTTTCTGTGGCTGGGGACAAGGTATCCGTCCTTCTCTGCATCAAGTCCAGCTTTTCAGCCCTCATCCGAACTGTGGATTTCCTGCGTTTCATTCATTTCCTGTTTCCTCAACAGAAGGGTTCCTGGCAAGATCAGCCTTCAAGGAGTAGTGGTAGGTGTTTCTAATACACTTTACATAACTTGGATCAGTGTGGCAGGAATAGAAACATCTGATACACACCAAGCAATTTGAGGTGACTTGGGAGGTTAACAAACGAGTGGAGAATTCATTTCTTTTTTTAAATATATATTTTTAAATGTTTTATTTATTTATTCATGAGTCAGAGAGAGAGAGAGAAGCAGGCTCCCCACCTAGCAGGGAGCCCGATGCAGGACTCGATCCCAGGACCCTGGGATCATGACCTGAGCCGAAGGCAGACGCTTAACCATCTGAGCCACCCAGGCATCCCGAGAATTCATTTCTTACCTCCATTCAGGCATGGATTGTACCAAGCTTTTCTGTGGGAGGATGGAAAGGGCAGGGTGGTTTCTGCTTTGAAACCCTTGCGCAATAGCATCTGGGGAATGCGGCAATTCCTTCCCCCCCCCCACCCCCCCCCCCCCAATGAGCTCACCCTCTGGAAGGAGGGATGGGAAGCCCTGGTGAGGCTAGAACCCACAGGCCAGCATGACAGAGCGGAATGCTGACTCTGTGGAAATGTCTGGTGTGTGGCTCCAGATGCTGTTTATAGTTTTTGGAGGGAGAGAGGCCAGAGGGAGAGAAGTCGCTGGTGTGTTTAGTGCCCTGAATCCTTGCCCAAAAACCATGACCTCGGGGAAAATATTCCAGAATCTGCTACAGGGCTGAATGGCTTATGAATAGGTTTTTGGTGTAGTCTTTCCATGATATGTAAAGTTTATCAGAGGCCATTCCTTATTTATTTATTTTTTTCTGGAAATTTAAACTTCAGAGTCCAGACACTTTGCTTTCCTAGGAATCTCTGCTTTCGGCCTAAGTAGGAGATTGCATGATACAATCTTGAATGAGAGTTACCATTACTGAGCACTTGTCAGGTGCCAGGCCCTGTTCTAAGAGCTTTCTAGGGCTTATCTCATTGAATCCTTCAATCACCTGGAGTTGGGTACCACGGTTATCCTTGCTTAATGATGAGGAAGTGGAGACTCAAGAGGTCTAGTACTTTCCTGAAGGGTCACACGACTAGAAAGGAGTGAAGCTGGGATCTGAACCCAACAGCGTGACTCCAAGGTTCCCCCCCGAAGACCTAGCTCTATTACTGTGTAGCTCCAGGAGCTCAGGCAATGGCTTCACTTCTCTGAAAAGTAAGAGTTTCTTTCAGTTTTGCAATTCTGTGGTTTGGAAGTTTGGACATGACTTCCCTGAAGCATTACCTTCTCCTAAAGTGAGGAGGAATTTACAGGTGCTCTGTACAACTACAGTTTGGCTCCCTTTTGGCGTGTTCTATGGTCTGGGGAAACTGGCTTTACTCAGCCTGAGCTGAGCACACAGGACTGACCCTTAACTATGGTTAATAATTAACTCAGGCCTCAGAGACGAGGGCAGAGCTAACTGGATTCTACTGAAAACTTGTGGGGTGTGGGAGAAGAAAAGCTTTAAGTTTCATTTTCCTGTATTGTCATGTGACAACCCCTCATTGGCTTCATCTCTGGGGTGGATTCTTATTTAGAGGAACCAAGGAGTTTGCAAGAACACTTCAGAGCAATGCATTCCTTAGCCAGGGCTTAAGACATGATTACCTTAATCCCTGGGCTGTGGACTGATTTTCTCCCTGCCCAGACTGGGTCTCTGGGTTTCCCTTGTCTCCCCTCTTTCTGCTTCATGGTGTTTGCATAGCCCCTCTGGATCCAGTAACAGATCCATGCTGCTAAAGCCCACCCAAACTTTCTGCCAGAAACCCTGGAGCAGATTCATGGGATCTTGACTCCCAGCCCATCCTCTGTCAGGATACCTAAATGTTTGGGGACAGATATTGGAAGAGTCTGAGAACTTCTTTTTCCCTGGTCTCCACGGAGATGCTGGGAGCATCTCCTGCCACTCTACCTTCTGAAACCAGCACAGAGGTTTAGACGGTTTCTTCAGGTCTTCTCCCTCGAGGGTCCATTCCTTAATGACTTTGAGGGCTCAGAGCTGTTTGTTTCTGTCATTGTTCTTCTTCCTCTCTTTGTGATTATCTCTGCCCTTCCCACCTTTCTCTGAGACACTCAGAGGTGTTGTTGACCTTTGGCCATGATGGAGGCCATGCTGTTGCCCTCACAGCCTCACAGGGCCTTTGAATGATTTCCGGGTAGGATTTTCTTTTCCATCGACCGAAGCGACCTCTTTTCTGCTCGGATCAAAGACATACCGTGTTTTTAGGAGATCATGTTAGCCACACAGAGGCCCCACTGAGGCCAACTCAGCTTATCTGTCATCACATGCTGTTAACGATAGCCCTCAAAAATAATTGCGTCTGCCTTCGGCTCAGGTCATGATCTCAGGGTCCTGGGATCGAGCCCAGCATCGGGCTCCCTGCTCCTTGGGAAGCCTGCTTCTCCCTCTCCCACTCCCCCTGCTTGTGTTCCCTCTCTCGCTGTGTCTCTGTCAAATAAATAAATAAAATCTTTAAAAAAAAATTGCTTGTATTTTAAACTTCTCACTGTGATCTCTACAGAAGAGATTTCTCTGTTTTCAGAGGAGTCAGATCACTCCAGGATCTTACCGTCTGCCAAATGATAAGCATTTGATAGATTTGTTGTCTCATTAGATCCTTACTTACGCTTTCTTCACTTTGCTGATCCAAAAAGGAAGACACTTTTGCATAAGTTCTTGATTTGCCAAAGTTAAAATACATATTCTGTTATTTGACACTGCTAATTGACAGTCTGCAGTCTGAATTTTAATCAGTACCTGGCATTCCACCTTAGACTTAAGTGCTTAATTCTGGACCAGGACCAGAATCTGGAGAACTCTCAGCCTTTGGTACTGATAAACGGAGTGGTTGGTTAGAAACATGAAACTCTTAAAAGTGACAATTCCCTAATAAGTGGTTCTATCTCTTCTTTTTTCAAGAAGGCAAGTGTGTACAGGATGGATCGGAAACACAGAGGCCACTGTGTTGTTGTCAATAACCACAAATTTACCTCAATGTTGGATAGACCAGGGACTGATAAAGATGCTGGTAAGAAAATCTGGAATAGTATATCACATGCAAGTTGGGATCTTAAAAAATCACTTTTTTATTTTCACATTTTCTTTCTGTAATTTTAATCTTCCATTTAAATGTAAGGATGATATCATAAATGTTTCTGGCCTCTTGTATGTCCCTGGTGTTGTAGTCTACCTGGGCTGCTCTAACGAAATACCATAAATGCGATGGCTTATAAACAACAAACACTTATTTCTAACAGTTCTGGAGGCTGGGAAGTCCAAGACCAAGGTTCTGACATTTTGATGGCTGGTGAGAGCCCGCTTCCTAGACGGCAGTCTTTGTGCTGCAGCCTCACTTGGCAGAAGGGGCGAGAGAGCTTTCTGGGGTCTCCCTGTGGGCTGTACCCTCCCGACCTCTTCACCTCCCAAAGGCCCCACTTCCTCATACCCTAACCTAGGGGGTTAGGATTTCAACATATGAATTCTGGGGGACACAAACTTTTTTTAATTTAAATTTTAGGTAGTTAACATACAGTGCAATATTGGTTTCTGGAGTAGAATTTAGTGGTTCATCATTTACATACAACACCCAGTGCTCAGGGTCGCCTGGGGTGGCTCAGTCGGTTAAGTGACTGCCTTCGGCTCAGGTCATGATGCTGGAGTCCCAGGATCGAGTCTCGCATGAGGCTCCCAGCTTAGCAGGGAGTTGGCTTCTCCCTCTGACCCTCTCCCCTCTCATGCTCTCTCTCTCTCTCTCTCAAATAAATAAATAAAATCTTTAAAACAACAACAACAAACAAACCCCACCCTGTGCTCGTCATAACAAGTGCCTTCCTTAACACCCATCTCCCATCTAGCCCATCCCCCGCCCACCTCCCTCCATCAACCCTCAGTTTGTTCTCTAGTGTTAAGAGTCTCTTATGGCTTGTTTCCCTCTCTCCTTTTCTTCTTTTCCCCCTTCCCATATGTTCATCTGTTTTCTTTCTTAAATTCCACGTACATGTGAGATCATATGGTATTTGTCTTTCTCTGACTGACTTATTTCACTTAGCATTATACTCTCTAGCTCCATCCACATTCTTTTTGATGGCTGAATAACATTCCTTTTTTTATATTATATATATATGGAATATTCCATTATATATGTATGCAGACACACATACCACATCTTCCATTATCCATTCATCAGTTGATGGATATTTGGGTTTTCTCCATAGTTTGGCTATTGTGGATAATGCTGCTATAAACATTGGTGTACATGTATCCATTTGAATCTGTATTTTTGTATCCTATGGGTAAATACCTGGTAGTGTAATCGCTGGATCATAAGGTAGTTCTTATTTATTTATTTGAGAGAGAGAGAGCGAGAGAGAGCAGGAGCAGGGGGAGGGGTAGAGGGAGAAGCAGACTCCCTGCTGAGCAGGGAGCCCGATGTGGGGCTTGATCCCAAGACCCTGGGATCATGACCTGAGCCGAAGGCAGATGCTTAACTGACTGAGCCACCCAGGCGCCCCAGGGTAGTTCTATTTTTAACATTTTGAGGAACCGCCATACTGTTCTCCAGGGTGACTGCATCAGTTTGCCTTCTCACCAACAGTGTAGGAGGGATCCCTGTTCTCCACATCCTCTCCAGCACTGCTTGTTCCTTGTGTTGTTCATTTTAGCCATTCTGACAGGTGTGAGATAGTATCTCATTGTGGTTTTGATTTGTATTTCCCTGATGATGAGTGATGTTGAGCATGTTTTCATGGGATACAAACATTTAAACCATAGCACGGGTGTCACCAACCTACTGAAAGAGTGACAAGAGTCCCTGACCAGTTAGGACTCTGTGGTTTGGGGGAAAGCATGGTGCGTCAGCTAGAGAAAATCCATATTTGAGTTCCGGTTCCATCACTAACCAGTTTGTGACTGTGGGAGAGTCCTGGGGCCTTGGCTTCCTTATCTGTGAAATAAGATGAAACTTGGGCCTCTGCCGACTCTCAGGACCATTGTGATAGCACGGTGGGGACTATATATAAGAAGGCAGGTCGTAAGTTGTAAAATTTTATTGTTATGAAAGTAAAAAAACTCCAAGCTTCAGGCTCTTTGCTGTGCAAGTTTTGTAACTACATTGTTTCATCCCTTCATTTTATTGCATTCCACTCAATTTCATTTCATTTTATCATTTCCCCTTTCTCTCCTTTTTTTTTACAGAGCACTTGAGGCATGTGTTTGAGTGGCTTGGGTTCAGTGTACGTGTATATGATAATGTGACCAAAGGACATCTGGACAATGTTCTGCAGGAATATAAGTGTCATCCAGGCCATTCTGATGGAGACTGCTTTGTGTTCTGTGTTCTGACCCATGGGAAATTTGGAGCTGTCTACTCTTCAGATGGGACCCTTGTTCCCATTCAGGAGATCATGTCTCACTTCACAGCCCAGCAATGCCCTGGTCTGGCTCATAAGCCCAAACTCTTTTTTATCCAGGCCTGTCAAGGTGAAGAGATACAACCTCCTGTTTTCATTGAAGCAGATGCTGTAAATCCTGAGCGTGTACCCCCTTCCCTTCAGGACAGTATTCCCGACGAGGCGGATTTCCTTCTTGGCCTGGCCACGGTCCCTGGCTACGTATCCTTTCGGCATGTGGAGAAAGGCAGCTGGTATATTCAGTCTCTGTGTAATCATCTGAAGAGCTTGGTCCCAAGGTGAGAGTTTTGAGTTGTTTCATCCACCTACCTCTTTGTCCATCCATCTGTCTACCTGTTCGTCTGTCTGTTCACACACCCACCCATGCACCCATCCATCGATCCACTCATCCATCATCCATTCATCATCTGTCCATCTATTTATCCATCTGTCCATCCATTCATCCATCATCCATCCATCCATCCAAACATCTGTCCATCCATCAAACCTGTATTGAGCACCAGCATGTAACTGGAAGAGAAGATACAGAAATTGAAAAAAACCCACAGTCTCTGCCCTCAAGTTGCTCATAGTCTAGAGGGATAGAAAAAATAGATGGGGGGAAGAGCATCCCCTGTGGCCAATGCACATTGTAAAGCATAGGTGTTATGGGAACACATAGAACTAGTACCTCACCCAGATTTGAAGGATCAGGGAAAGCTTCTAGAGATGGCAGATAGATGTTGGGTAAATAATTGGGATGAAAGGCATGCTGGGCAGAGGGAACAGTATGAGTAAAGGCAGGAGGGTCTTTTATTTGTTCGTTTGTCAGTGACTCATACTTGCTGAGTGCCTGTGTGTTGCCTTTGGCATTATAATACCTTTGATCTACCACTGCTCTGACAACTTTCCTTCTGGATCTGTCACCTGCTGCTTACCTGCTACTCTGGAAATGGGCCTTCACCATGGTTTAGTCCCAGACCCGATTCTTGGCTCTCTATAGCTCTTGGCAGCTTAAGCTATCCCTGGAAGCCACTTTCTCCATGAAAATGTCTCCCAGATTGCTATCTCTGGTCCATTAATCTCTGAATTTTTAGAGAGCAGAGTTGTTTCATTCAGCTTTATATCCTCATACCTGACACAGTACCTTCTCTGCTGTTGAGCTCCATAAATATTTTCTGGACCAACTAATGACTGACTGAGTGGATCTCCTTCTTCAGGTCAGTCCCATATATTTCTTGCAGCATGCCAGACATCCCACCTTGTGTTGCCCTTAGAGCTCCCATTCAGTATGCCTAGTCCTGAATTCATCGGCTTAGCCCTCTCCAGCAGACTCCTGCTCCTGAATCCCCATTTCTAGGAATGGTCACCATGATCTTCTGGGGATTCAGAATTGGAAACTCACAATTGGGGTCTTGACTCAACTTTAGCTTTTCCCTCTTCTTCGCTAATCCCTCCATCCCCACCGTAGCCATCGAAGACCAATGTTGTATGACTTCAGGGACAAGGCAGTATTTATCAAGGTCTTACTATGTGCCTACTGTACTAGGTACTGAACTAGGAACTCGGGGTACAGTTGTGAACAGGAGAGACAGAATCTCTTCATGGAGCTTATTGTGCAGTGAGAGGAAAGGAGGTAATGAAAATGTAAGGAAGTGAGGGGCGCCTGGGTGGTACGGTTGGTTAAGCATCCGACTCTTGGTTTCAGCTCAGGTCGTGATTTCAGGGTCATGGGATTGAGCCCCATTTCAGGCTCCACGCTCAGTGGGGAGTCTGCTTAAGGGTCTCTCTCCCCCTCTGCCCCTTCTTCTCTCTCTCAAGTAAATAAATCTTTAAAAAAAATGTAAGTGAATATTTAAAATAATAAGATAATTTCAGGAAGGGATACCTGCTGTGAAGAAAGCAAAGAAGATAATATAGAGAATGGGGTGGGGAGCTCCTTGACCAGGGCTTCTTGGTAGAGGTGATATTGCAAGTGAGACTGAATGACCGGAAGGAGTAGCCGCAGGGAGAGCCAGGGGCGGGGGGCCCGGCTGGTATGAGACACGACACAAGGACTAAGAACCAGTCAGGGCCTGCATTCCCACCTGAAAAGAGCAATCATGATGAGGGTAAGTAGTAGTAATACTAATGATACTAAAAATGATGGTCAGTGGAGTGTTACGGTCAGCGTTCTATGTGCTTTACATAAATCACCTCCTTTACATCTCATGCAGCCCCTAAAATGGGCACTCCTAGAGTCCTTATTTTACAGCTGAGAACACGGAGGCTCAGTGAATTTAGTGTGAGGTCAGCCACTGTGTCCGTGGCCGCACAGTGAGTGGACAGAACCATGATTCACACCCGAGGTCTATCTCCAGAGCCTGTGCTTTGCCTCCAAGGATATGAATTGCCCACCCCTGGAACATTTTGGGAAATGCTACATATCCTGCAAGCCCAGGCTCAAAAGCCAACCTCCTCTGTGGAGTTGTCTTCTCCCAGAAGGAAAGTGCTCTTCTTCCTCTGAACTTGCAGTGGACTTTGTCCGCTTGTTTTTTTTTAAGATTTTATTTATTTATTTGAGAGAGTGAGAGAGTGAGTGAGTGAGAGAGAGCACGAGCAGGGGGAGGGGCAGGGGAGACGGAGAGAGAAATCTAAGCAGGCTCCCCACTGAGCAAGGAGCCCGATGTGGCGCTTGATCCCAGGACTCCGGGATCATGACCTGAGCCAGAGGCAGACGCTTAACTGACTGAGCCACCCAGGTGCCGCCACACAGGATTTGTCCACTTTTTATATGGTGTTGATCACATTCTGCCTTGCATTATGGATTTTGTGTATATACCATACTTGGTATGTGCTTCATGTCTGCATTTGAAGTGTTTAAGCTCAGGAACTGCGTCATGTTTATCTTTGTATCCCTCCTCAAACCAAGAATAGAGAGGGCATTCTTAATAGTAGGGTCCCTTTCTGTCTTTATCCCCTACCTATCTATCGTCTATCCATCCATCCATCCATCCATCCAATTTATCTATGCATGTATCATCTATCTGTCTGTCTATATCCACCAGCTTGGAGGAGAAACATGGAAAAAAATATATAATTATATGCAAACTTCCTTTGTGGACCAAGTGCCTTAAAATGCAATGTGTGAGGCACCGGGCTGGCTCAGTCAGAAGAGCATGAGACTTGATCTCAGGTTCATGAGTTCAATCCCCACGTCGGGTGTAGATTGCCTAACAAAAAGAAAAAAAGGGCGCCTGGGTGGCTCAGTTGGTTAAGCATCTACCTTCCGTTCAGGTCATGATCCCGGGGTCCTGGGATTGAGCCCCACATCAGCTCCCTGCTCAGGAAGGAGTCTGCTTCTCCCTCTGCCTCTGGCCTTCCCCCTGCTCATGCTCTCTCTCTCTCAAATAAATGAAATCTTATTAAAATGCAACATGTGACTGTTATAGTGTTCTTAAACACAAAATGTTGAACTGAAAAACTTCATATATAATTTAGCATTTCTTTTTTCAACTTTGAAATAAGCATTTCTTTATATTTGGCAGGATTCCAGTTAGCATCTTGGCCTATTCAACTCGGAAGAAGCCACATGTTTGAGGGTTTCTTCCTATGACCTTTCTATGATGTGATTTCTGTCTCCTGAGTGAAAATATTTTTTCTTATCTGCCTGCAGAAATGAAGATATCTTATCCATCCTCACTGCTGTCAACAATGATGTGAGTCAACAAGCAGACAGAGAAGGAACAAAGAAACAAATGCCCCAGCCCGCTTTCACACTACGGAAAAAGCTAGTATTCCCTGTGCCACAGGAAAAACTTTAATAGTAGAGAGTTCTCATTGACTCTTGGACTTGAAAGGAGGCTTTGGTCATCTATTCCAGTCTCCCACCCATCACAGGAATCAATGATAGATGGTGAGCTGGCCTGCATATGTCATTCTAATTATTGGAAATACCCTATTTTTTGATGCAGCAAATTCTTTTTTTCCCCTTGTTCTTTTTGATAAGTCTGAATGTTTCAACACTTTCTTTCTTGAAGCTTTGGGTTGTGGTCTTGGTTTTGTTTGTATGCCCTGGGAAAAAGCAGTTGGCCTTGGTTTGTGCATCCGTGAGGTAAAGGGTGGAACCACAAACATTTTAAGATTCCTCTGAGCTTTAAGAACCACTGTACTTAGCCTCAGTTGAGCTTCGATTTCCTCTCTACATGACCACCCCTTGTTACCATTCTGCGTCCCCTCTGCGTGGCCTTGTTCTGGACATTGGATAATGGTAGAGATCACGCATGGTTCCTTGACCTTCTCTGCTCTCCCCTTCCTAAGGCTCCTCTCCTGCACATCTACCTAGGTGAAAATTTGGTCTATACGATGCTCTTTTCCTGCTTTAGTGTAAGGAAGGTATTCCTGCAGGAACTGTTTCTCTTGGGTCGGGAACAGGTTCAGCTCTAGGATGCTGGTAGTCTGAATGAAGAGAGACACACTCAGCAACTCTGGGAGCAGAGACTTTACAGCCTGAGATTAAATCCCATGTTGGTGAGACCCTTTCAGAAGCTGCTGATAACTGAACACCCACGTCAAGCCAACTAAAGCAAAGAAGGGAATTTATTGTCGCAGTCTGAAAACACACAGATGGGTGGTGCTGACTTCCTATGAGGCTTGAAGCAGGACTGAGTCTGCACTATAGCATGTCTCTCTTGGCCAGGGGTTCTCCCGACAGCTGTGCTGTGCTGACTACGGTCAGCAGCCCCTCTCTGTTCCTCTGGCCCAAAGGATGGAGGAGGGAGGCAGCCTGAGAGTCTGAGGCTGTTCACAGGGGATGCTGTTCTCTCCTTAGTCAGAGAGTTGTTTGGCTGTGCCTTGGGGGGGTGTGGTTCTGTCTGGAAGACTTGATACTTCTTACATTAAGGCTTTGAATATCTTTATTTATGTGAACTTTTTTTTTTCAATTTCAAGAGGAGTTTTTTTTTTTTTCAGCTCCTGCAGGAGGGAGGTTGAAAGTCCTCTCCTTGAGGCCTTTATTTCCAGATGAAGAAGTTGAGGCCCCAGGAGGCAAAGTGATTTGCTACAGTCCCCCAGATGGTTACTGTTTATAGGATTTTATTTCCCACTTGAGTGAACTGGAATATCATGGACATAGTGGGGCTTTAGGAACATTTCCTTGGGTATGCAGATGTTCATGAAAGATGTCAGGGAAGGAAGAAAAATAACTCTCAGTGATGCCTGATTTTGCAGTTATTCATGTGAAAGTTGCATTAATTTATGGTGTATTTGCTATGAGAACTACTCATAAGAAGTTTTTTATAATAGTAATTATGTAGATGGAGCTAGTCATTATGTGGATTTGAATGTAGCTTGACCAAGGAAAGGAGTCTAATAGATATGTCAGAATCATCTTCCAAAACCAGTGTTTATACAAGTCAAAGCTAACCGCTGGTGATTACAGTCTTTGCCCAATTGAATATACACAGCTTTTGGCCATTTCATAAAAGCCTTCTCTGGGAGTGAAGGATGGTGTGATTCAAAACAAAAAAGCAAAGAATCTGGAGAGGGAAGCCTTAGGTTTCCGTTTGGCCTTGTGACTCCCTTGCTCTGAGACACTAAATCAAGCTAGTTTTTCGAGCCTTATCTATGAAGTAGAGAAAAATGACCTATTAAAGATAAGGATTTAGGGGAATGTATAATATATGTATATCATAATAAATATATATCTCTCCATTTAACTCCAGTTGTTGCGAGGTACTATAAGACCGTTAGGTGGCAGATGCCTCTGGCAGTAACCTCAATGGAAACAGCAGAGTTTGAGTTCCTTTGCGTCTAATTCCAGCTGAGTTTTAGCCGCAGATCAACCCTAGCAATCCCCACCCGTGTCCTCTGAGTGAAGCGCTGGTTCTTCCCTCACTGATCACAGTGTCCCCAGCAGTAATAGGCTAACTCTTGGCTCTGAGTCCAGTTGGACAAAACACCGCTAAGGAGCTCTCCTTCAGCAGCAGCCTCTGGGGTTCGATGCTGAAGTGCCCCGGTCCTGTGGGTCTAGTCCATATTGCCCTTGTGCTGGAGCTTAGTGCTTATGCAAGGTTAAATTCTGGAATCAGGAAACGAGCCCACGAGCTTTCTTTTTAGACTTCTCCAGCAAGCACTGGAGTCCCTAGACGTTGATGACTCTAAGTCATGGACCTATGCGGACACCAGGAACACACCCATCCTTCAATCATTTCTCCTAAACGGAATGTGTACACACTTGTCCCTTGTGTGTGTGTGTGTGTGTGTGTGTGTGTGTGTGTGTGTGTGTGTATGGGAATTGAGAGCAAAACACTAGAGGTGATTTGGTCCCAGGTATTTGGCAGTGGCCATCGTCAGCCCAGACATTTATGAAAGAAGTGTGCAGATTGAGTGAGGTCTCTGTATATTTTGCGTAGTTGTGCTCAACCTACAAGAGCTATGGTTAATTTTTTCTTTCTTTTCTGCTTTTTTTTTTCTTGAAAGTTTAGCTTCTACCAAAACAATGAAGGATGAGGAAACAGTTTATAGAATATTATGCAAATGTTAGTTGTTTAAGAATGATACTACTGGTATAACTGTTATTAGAGATGCTAGTCGCCGGAGCATCCTCCTGATCTCTGCTGCAGGGCCTCGCCATGCGAGTGGGCAGGTTTGATATTGCCAGGGTTCCCCGTAGCCAGTGCTCAGGTAATGCAGACCTGCATTACGGTGATACGGTGTGGTTACTGATCTATCAGAACAGCCATTGACCAGTATAACACTATGGGGAATGCCACTGAAGAGCAGCTCTTTATCAGTGATCCTGTCTCCACTGAGGTAGACCAAACGAGAAGCTGACCTCATTTGGTAGATAACTTCTGTGCCATACTTGAGTCCTAAAATCTTCCAGGACCGATACTTTCTGAATGATTTAGTCATGTTGTTCTTAACCTGGAATTCTTGGGTCCTTGGATGTTTATGGATTTATTCTCAGGGTGTATGAGTCTTCCACCTTCCGTTTGAAATGCCTCAATTTCTTTTTGGTGATAATCTTCTATTAATAGAGGTGGATCCTGGCTCTTCTGCATGATCTCTTTGTATTTGAGCATTGACAAACAACTTTTGTGTCCACATCCTGGTGCCCACGGGAGTGATGAACTTTATATTGAACTTTTTAATGTAGCACGGATTAGGGTTCAGGGCTAGAGGTCCTCAGACCTGTTGTCAGGTACCAGCAGTTAATCTACCTGAAACCTGCTCCAGTCCATCCTCTTAAGTCATGACAGGCTCCTAGTCCATCATCCCTCAGCCCCTGCTGAACTCAGCGGAGGGAACTCACACTACACCCAAAATCATGGATTTGGGAGCTTGGAAGGACAGTGGCTAGGGAACCCGTGGTCCAGCCTTCAGGGTCAAATGGCTTACGCAAGTCTTACAGCTCTTAGTGCAGGATTTGCAATTGTGTGTATCTCCGGCTTTGCCAAACAATTGTCACTATCTTCCCGTGAAGTACATGTTGCTTGTGACAAGTTATTTGACTTTGTTTCTGGTAGGGTCTGGCTCTCCTCAAAAGTCTGCAGTTTGCCTTTAAGAACCGGGTAAGAATATCGCATGTGTGGTAAGGACACATTTGTATCTTTAAACAGCAGCCAAATTCCTGAAAATGGAACCCTTTTTAAAAAGTACTAGGAGAAATTCCTTGTTTGAAGAAAGACTGATTTGCCAGCATAAACAACCACTTTGTAACATAACTTTTGCAGATATGAATTTTTAAGAGAATTTTTCCTCTTTTAAAATTTTTAAATTATATGAATTTTTACTTTTTAAATCTATTTTTGAATAAGTAATACCTTTACATTGCTCAAAGAGAATACAAAAAGATATTCAAGATTAGTCTTGCCTGCCTTTTTGTCCACCAGATGCCCAGTCCTCCCACCTCTGAATCCCAGAGGTGATCTCAGGATTTGTTAACGCAGATGCAAATACAACAAATACAAATATATGTGTATTTTAAAGGAGGCATTTCTTGAAACAAAGGACATGCACTGTGAAACTCAAAACCCTCATTTGGTCTCATTTTAAATGATTCTGTAAGATGCCTGGAAATACTTGTGCAACTCTACAGTTGGAATAACTTGATGAGTTTTGTGGACTGAGTACCTGTAAATAGTAGTAATTGACCAATAAAGGATTTTTTTTTCCTTTTTACCTTTGAGTAATATCTTTGATTTCTGCTCACGTGGTAACATATACACATTGTGGAATATTTGGGAGGTAGAAGAACCCACAAAGAAGAGTTAATTCATTTATGATTCCATTTTGGCATGCACTTTCACATGATTTCACTCTGCATTTGTCCCTGAGCTTCCCCACCACCTTTAAATCAGCCTAACCACCATGTCCTCCCAGTCTTGCATCCAGTAAACTCTGTCATTACCAATATCTGTACCTCCACCCACATCTCAGCTGCAGACATGCCTCTCTGACAGCTACCTCCTACCAGTCCATCTCACTTTCTCTAGGACCCTACCCACAACAGTCTTCGGTGCCCCCGGGGCCTCTGGTTAGTCCATCGACCCTCTCTGCCATCTTTCCAATGTCAACACCACCCCTCACTTCTTCCCTCCCTCTTTATCCAGCTGGAGTCCCATGTGTCCTCATTGAACTCACTTTCTCATGCCCACCCTCTAAACCCTTGCATTTCCCGCAGTCCTCATGGGACAGGATCCAAGCTCTGGTTAATCCCATATGCCTACTTACTCCCCTGTTTGTACTGGAGTTCCTGGTTGAGGCTGGTGTAAAAATATAGTGTTCCAGGCCAGTCTCATTTAAAACCAATGACCATAAACTTCAAACAGGCTTTGGGTAGTTCTCAGCAATCCTGTAACATTTCCCTGGTTATGTCACCTTCTGCTTTCTCAGTCTATTTTACACTTTCTTTTGAATTCTCTTTTGCATTTTCAGACCTCTATCATCCTCCACTCTCCTCACTTTAATTTGATGGTCTCAGTGGCTTCACTAAGGGAAGTAATCCGAAAAAGGTTCTACCTTCCACCACCGAGTCCTCTGATCCACCTGCACCCTAACCCTATTTACTGCTTTCTCGCCTGTCAACAGTGGGTGCGCCGTCCGGTCCATGCTTCTCCCAAGAGTCCGTGTTTCCATCTTGTGCAGGACTGTCCCATCCTGCTCACTCGAGGACACCACTCATGTAGCCCTTCCTCCTCTCTCCTGCTCTATTAACTGTCCCTCTCACCCAGATCATCCCCCTCAGCACACAAAAACATGCTGTAACTTCTCTTCCTTCAAAGCTAAAACTAAAACAGAACCGAAACCCCTAAATGCAGATCTTGTGTCACCTGCTCCGAGTCCGACCCCAAGAGGAGGATTCGTGTGCGAGCGATCTGTTCAGGAATTGCTCTCTATCCAAAAGGAGTAAGAAAACTAGGCTTCCATCCTCCCTCAGCCCTCCATCCTCTCCTAAGAGCTGCCCCAGGTGGGAGACCTCAAACTTCCAGGCGCTTCCCGTGGTCTTGATACGGTTTTGGAATGTAGGTGAGGTTTGGCGGGGTGAGGTCCAGAGCCGACAGCCGAGAAAGAGTTCTTGAGACATCTTTGGTGCAAAATGGTGGTTTTATTAAAGCCCGGGGTCAGGACCTGGGGGCAGAGAGAGCCACTGCACCGGGGTCACGAGGGGTGACTGATTATGTACCTAGGAGTTGGGGGACATAAGGAAAAGGGAGGTTTTCAAAATAACTTTTGTATGCTGAAGAGGTCCTACCAGATATTCAAGGCCTTGCCATTGTCAAGTTAAGGTGGTTTTTCCCTCTAGTAAAGCATTAACATTAAGACAGTTGGGAGTTTCCTGGAGGAATGTTCTATTCCACAGGTCCTTGTCCATAGGCTGCGGGTTATAAGGAAATTTTATTTTATTTATATTCCCTTTTACCTTTGTTCCTACATCACTGTGGATGGGTGGGTGATGTTAGGGCTCCAGGAAGTTGAGTCTATGGATCTCTGGAAGTTAGGCTATGGATAAGAATGCTTTTTTCTTGTAAATTGCCAAAACATTTTGTAAACTGAGGGAGACTCCTGTCTTGCAGGACTGTGATCTCTGTCAGTTAACCATTGGTTTTTCCCTTCCCTTAGCTTTAGGGCAGCCAGGAGTGCCTGAGGAACTTCACACATGTCCCACCTGGGAGTGGGGGCGGGGGGTTGCGGGGTGTCCTCAGCTTGCCTTCTGCTTCCTCATCAGTCTGACGGAGTACTCTCCTGGCACAAAGGTGTGAATCTTTGGAAGCAAAACCCCCTACAATCTGGCAAGCTGGCCAGACTGGCTGGCAGGTGGGGCTGGGGTTGGGGTAGGCAGAGGGGGATTAAAATGGATCAGAAGAGATCTGCCTGAAGCATGACTGCACCTTCTACACCCCTCTCGACCCCATACCTTATCTTATCCTCCCATCCTCAACCTCATCCAACCTTTGCAGGGCCTGGGCAACAGTATAATCTGAGGCCCATAACCTGTATGTCAAAATAGGAATACCAACAAACTGTTTTTTTTTTATTATTATGTTATGTTAATCACCATACAGTACTTAATTAGATTCTGATGTAGTGATCCATGATTCATTGTTTTCGTATAACACCCAGTGCTCCATGCAATACGTGCCTTCCTGAATACCCATCACCGGGCTCACCCAACCCCCCACCCCCCTCCCTTCTGAAACCCTCAGTTTGTTTCCCGGGGTCCATAGTCTTTCATGGTTTGTCTCCCCCTCCGATTTCCCCCCCTTCAGTTTTCCCTCCCTTCCCCTATGGTCCTCCATGCTCTTCCTTATGTTCCACAGATAAGTGAAACCATATGATAATTGTCTTTCTCTGCTTGACTTATTTCACTTAGCATAATGCCCTCCAGTTCCATCCATGTCGATGCAAATGGTGGGTATTCATCCTTTCTGATGGCTGAGTGATAGTCCATTGTATATATGGACCACATCTGCTTTACCCATTCGCCAACAAACTGTTGTACTCGCCTACTCTTGCTTTGGAATGGCTTGAAAGGCCACGTTAGAATTTATTATTGTTACGGTGTGCAGAGTGTCTGCCTCTGGTCCACAGCCTGTGCCTTTCTCTTCCCAGCCCTAGGTCCTTCTAGATTACCTGAAACCCTAATAGATGCAAAAGAACATGAAAAATGTCACACACAGTCGGATCAGTGTACCCTTCAGCCCAGAATTTTGTGAAAGAATTTTTTATGATCTCAGACTAAAAGGTCAGAGCATTTTCTTGGATAGGCCCACCTTTTTCTTTACTAATTCCCTATGGATCTGTCATTTGTGAATTTATCTAAGCAAAAACGCCCTTTCTCCTTTCAACAATTTAAAAACATCAAAAACAATGTTGAAAAACTAAAGAAGGAGCCACAAACTGGGATATGGTATGTACCACATATATAACTGACAAGGGATATGTAAATACATATAAATGTACGTAAGTATATATATTCTACAATCCTATAAAATAAACAGTCCAGTTAGATGGGCAAAAAATATGAGCCATTGGTTAAAAGAAAAGGAATACAAATGAGCAATAAACAAATGGGAACATAATCTGCTAAATAATCAGAGAACTGCAAAACTGAAGCCACAGTGAGTTACCATTTTGCACCCATCATATCGACAACATTTAAAAACCTGTCAGTAGCAAGTACGGGTGAGGATATAGATCAAAGGGGAGTCGATTATGCTGCTCAGAGAAATGTAAATCAACACGATCACTTTAGAGAACAACTTGGCAATATCTATAAAGGTTGAATATGTACACATATTCATATTCATATTCATTGTGAAAATATTTCCTGAGAGGCAGGGGGCAAGCCTATATGAGTAGTATGAACCAGCAATTCCATGTCTGGGTCCCTGCCCCAAAAGAAACTCTTGCACCTGCACGGGGAGACACGGAGGAGAATTTTCAGAGCATTATTGCTTGTGAGAGAGAAGAGAGAGGGGAAAAAAAAAGCAGCTGAAGCAACCAAAATACCCATCGATAGGAGGTTAGATGAATTGGGGTATAGTCACATAGAGGAATACCACCAAACAGTGAAACAAAATGAATTGGGATTATTAGGTTGAACCATTGAAATTGCCATTGCCTAGGTCAGACACAAGTATTGGCAACTTTGTGTGGGTCAGTCATACACATGCACTGCAGCACGATGCTTTCCAGAACTGAGCAGTGGTGGATGGGAACATTGTGAATGTACTAAATGCCACTGAACTATTCACTTTAAATTGTTCAAATGGTAAATGAAATTAAAAGTCTATCAAAAAAAGAGCATATGCAATATGATATAACTTATACAGAGTTAAAAACCCACATGACAGTCCTATAGGTTGCTTATACATTCATATCCATGAATACAATAATATGTGTGGGGGTGATAAATAAATTTTGGCTGTTACCTGGGGTGGGTCTGGGATTTGGGGAAAGAGGGGGGAATAATGCAGGGGCTTCAGCTGCACTGGTCATGTTTATTTCTTCGGCTGGGTGCTGGATCTGTGGGTCTTCTCTTTCTTCTAAAATCATTTTGTGTTGCCCCCACACCCCCACCCAGGGTCAGGCTCCCTGCTCAGCAGGGAGTCTGCTTCTCCCTCTCCCTCTGCCCCTCCCTTCCGCTCATGCTCTCTCTCTCTCTCAAATAAATAAAAAATCTTAAAAAAAATAAAAAATAAAATCTTTTTGTGTGGTCGATGCTGGTTAATGTAATTTGGCCACCAGACAGGGTGATCTCTCAGCTTGCCGCACTGTGAATATTTGGCCAGCTCAGGTGCACAGGGTGGTTTTGCCCTCTTGGTTGGGGCAGACCGAGTTTCTTCCACTCTGTACCTGTCTGTATTTTTGGTGGTAGTTATTTCTGTGGCGGCGATATAACTCATGTTGCCAAGGCAGGCATGAGGGGCATGGGCTCACTTCTTAGAATCATCATTGCTGCATGTTTAGTCTGGAGCAGGAAGCAAGCTGCAGATGAGAAACCCCCTCGTGATGCCTCTGAGTGCCCCACACCTGTTCTCATAAAATCAGCTTCAAATGCAGACTCAACCCTCTTCATCTGTGACCCCCATTCCCACCCCAGTTGCTGCTGACATTTTTCCACCCCCAGGGGCATGCACAATCAGAAGCTCAGGACTACATCTGATCATCCTACATTT